ATATATATATATATATATATATTCGGTTTATGGAGCTGCACAAATACAATCTGCTTTTGTTCCTTTGTTTTCTATCCAGTCTGGGCAGTTACAAAAGGACTGGACAGAGTTCAAGAACTTAGCCTTCACCAGAGGAGGACTTGGGTTCAGCAGACAGTAAGTCTTCTGCCGCCCTCTGCTGGCTGAAATGCTTCATAGCAAAGCAGTTTGGTGATTATATGAATGAATACGTTCATGTTTTTGTGTTAGTCTCATTCCATCGTGTAAGAAGATGAAGACTCAGCTGTGTGGCGTATACAGACAGTGTTTTCTCCTCGAGTCTCGACAAAGTGACATTCCACAACGTCTCTCCCCCGGTCTGCAGGAACGAGCCCAGGCCATGGCGCAGTGTGTATCAGTCAGCCGAACATCTCTTTGCACTATAACTGTTGTGAACTAATTAGTGACATTTTCAAATTTCAATACATTGAGAACTATTGGAACAAGTTTTTAGTACACACGTACCTGCAAGACAGTCCACAACAGCATCCGTGGTTGTTCATGTCGGTATCTTCTTTCTCTCTTTGTCTTATTCTTTCACTGTCTTTCTGTTCTACTCGTTTTCTCTCACCTTCTCTGTCTCCCAGAGAGAAACTGATGGACTGGAAGGACTTCCTGTTGGTGAAAAGCAGGAGAAATATCACCATGGTGTCATATCCTGTCAGCAAAATAATCCCGCTCCCTTGTTGTGTGTAAATACTTTTCCATGCATTTTTTTACAACATGCAAACGCCTAGAAATCTCTTTGAAATGCAACCCACAGTAGTCCTGAGTGTATTGATCTTGACCCAGCTGATCTCACTTACCTGGAGGATTTCCCAGGCCTCATCCATTTTATCTGCGTGGACCGATCCACCGGCCAAATGATTGCGCCATCGCTCAACTTGACGGAACGCAACACGTCTGAGCTGGGGAAGGGACCTTTGGCTCGGTTCATCAAAAGCAAGGTCAAGCATACTAGAAATACACGCCAGAAACTGTTCGTGTTATCGAGTCATTTAAGTCTCATTTTAGTCTGTTCCTGCTTTCAGTGCAAAGAAACAGCGATATTTAATTATTAATCTAAATAAATAATTTAATTTGACTGGCTAGGTTACAACATATTGCCATTTTCATCTGTAAAAAAACAAATTTTTGACAATAGTTAAATGAGAAAATAGATGCCACTCTTACAATCTTAGCTTAGCATAGCATAAAGACTGAAATCAGGGGGAAACAGTTGCCAGGAAGTTACTGCTCACGGCAAATGAATAGTCTGGCACATAACCTCTCTATTTTGTCATTTTTACACTTTATTTTTTTAACAGATTAAACAGAACATATAACATGTTTATAAGTGAGCTTTCCAGTCTTTGTGCTAAGCTAAGCTAAAACATTCTCTAGCTTCATATTTACCATACAGTTAAAAGCGAAGTATCTCTAACAAAGGAAATAAGCATATTTCCCCCAAAAATATGAAGTATTCTGTTAAATAGTTTACTGCTTCAATAGTTCTGCTCATTTTTGTCTCAAATAAATTTCTCCTTACTAATCACTCCTAAAGGTGTGGAGCCTGGTCAACACAACACAGCGTTATCTCCAGAAGGGTTACTCTACGGTAACATTGCGCGACGGAGACTTCTACTTCTGCTACTTCCTCTGGTTTGAAAATGAATCTGTACGTTACTGGAATGTCATGTTTTAGTATTCAGTAATAACACAAAAATGAATTAAGCACCCTGGAATACTGTAAACGTAAAAGATACAGCATCATATAAGTTGTAAATCTGATCAATCAGGGCTTCAAGTTGGAGGCAGGAGACATACCCATCCTTCCTGATGACTCTGCTCCCATTGGGATGCTTGCCTGGGACTACTACAGGTAAACAGCGAATGCCAAAAATAGATGTGATTAATCCAAACAAGAGTGCTGCTGACTATAGAAAGGAATGTGTCCTGCAGGAAGCTGCTGAGGTACTACAGCAAGAATCACCAGGGCGAGGTGGTGAAGTGTTACGAGCTGCTGACAGTTCACCTGGGGGTCATCCCCGCTGAGATCATCCTCCAGCACTGCAGACAGCTGGCAAGCAAACTGTGGGAGCCTACACGCAATCCACTGCTGTAGACACATCCACACACTTGAACTGAGTCACAGTATAGCCAAGGTACTCGATCATTGTTTCGCAAACAACTGTTTACTCTCTATAGATATATGGTGTCCAGCTTGTGTTTCATGTTTCCACCTTTTTCATGGTGTGTAAGGTTATTTAGCCTCTGATAGATTCACCTAACGTTGTTCATTAGAACACAGTCAAACACCAACATGCACTGTTTTGTGTGAAGTGTATTTAGAATATCTTGATTTTTGTAATATATTTTTGAATTCTCACTTATGACCTGTTTTCTATTCATTAGTAATACTTTAAAAAAAAAATGTTGTGTTCACTTTTTAAAAAACTGCAGCTGATCAATTTTTATAAATGCAGATACTGTCCATTGTTGCCTTTACTACTGCTAGTGTCTTAACATGTATGAATGAAGCCTTCAATAGGTATTATTGTATGTCTCAAATAATTTAGATTATTCTGTGGAGATAATAAATATCAGTACTCACATTCATTTGTTTATTGAGTCATTGTAAACACAATTGTAATAGCACTATTTGAACCATTATTTTTACAAATCAGCCATGTCAGTCGCTGATCGTGTTCCCATGTGTGATGACACAATTATTCATCCATATGACCATTACTATATGCGTAACAGCTAGTGATGCAATAAATTCATTGAATTTACTAGATATGCTAGGTTAAGTCTTACCAATCATGAGCTTGTCTAACCTTTAATTTGCTCACTCTTCAGTCAACCCGGGAGACTGTGAGTATTTTCAAAGGTCAGTTCACACTTTGTAGGATTTCGTCCAGCAGGGCACCGTTATGGAGGACTGCACACAGGCTCCCAGTGAGAGGAAGGAGTGCATGTCAGGTTCAGTATATTATCACCCTCTGCTGACTTACAGAGCACCTGTGAGGTCTGTCACAGCTCCTGCAGCCACCAGGTCCCTCAAGAAGAGTTTCTCAGCATTAACGTCGTGCACCACCTGGATGATGATAATAGAAATGAGCCAAAGTTGAATCAAAACATGAGACTTGGGAGCCTTAAAAATGCACATCACTGTTTAGTAATCTAAATTTACTTGAGCCTTCATTGCGTCCATGCGTATGGTCTCATAGTAGTGAAGCCTGGCCCCAGGGTGCTGCATGTCGTAGCCAAAACCTGCCAGGCTCACCTGGTCACACAGCTGCAAAGCCATCACCAACGCACTGGCGCCCAGTGTTGGCACCATCTACTTGAAGAGGAAAAATTATCTCTTTTTTTCAACCAGTATGATATGGTTCTATAGGAAAAGCCCTTTATAAAGGGCAGTGGGTTATAAAATGAACATGTTATCCTCTTGGAAGGGAAGGTTGTGTTTGCTCTGCTTTCACTCCCTTTACCGGTTTATAGCAAAGTCATCACATGTCTGAGCAAGGCATATACATATATTATTCAGGACCGGTTAGGCTACTCAGAAGGGCCATTGTTCTAGATTTCCTTTTTGTTATTTATTTGTATGCAGTATTGTATGAAAGCATACAACAAAGCATGAGAAAAACATGTTAGAACTCACGTTTCCCTGTTTCAGAGCATATTTCTGCAGGACTTGTCCCGTTTTATGAATAATCTCTGGGTGGAGGATCCTGAAGTTCTCTGGTCTCAGTGGAATATCATCCACCACCTCCCTCCAGAACCATATTTTGGACCAAAAGCTCTATTAAAAAAACAACACAGGAGATGTAGAGCGTGTGAGGCAGTGAGTGTGATGATGTGATATTGGTGTTGCTGCATGAGTTGCTGTGACACATTAATGGCTTATGTAATATGCTGTATGTGTGTGCAATGGTTCCTGTGACGTATAGGTTTACCAGAGGCTGTTTGGTGATGACAGAAGTGAGCCAGTCCAGGTCCAGGCTCTTAAAGACCACCAGAGCAACCATGGTGGTCTTTTTGTACTCGTTTGCGGAGTGAGGTGCTGCCTCTGGGTAGATCAGGCGGATGGTGGTGCGAGAACCAGCGTCTTTCTCATAGCCAGACACTGGAGCATTATTCAGCCTTGTAACAGAGTTGAAAACGTATGTATGAAATGGAATTTGTTCTGTTGATGCGATGTATTTTCTTCAAGCTTTTCCCCTAACCTTACTAAACTAGTAAGATATCCTTCCACCTGTCTGTCTAACAGTGATGCACATACCTGATAATGATGTCATACTGATCTATATGGGATCCAAGATGGCTCCCATGTAGAACCCCTCCACTGCCCACCACCACACATCGCCTGCAGTTGCCTTCCCTCTTCAGCGATGGAGGCAGGCCAGGCTGAGGCAGAGATGCAAGAGCAAGGGCCAGATGCTCCTCACTGCCCTGGAGCCCCAGAGGAGGGGACAGATCCCAGGGCACAGACCTTTCCTGCTGCACAAACACAGGGATGTCTAGGAGGCCTGCACAACATGACAAGGGCTTGAGGTGGTTCAAGCACCAGCGAGGCTGACAGGGGCCTGAAAGTAGGGAGGCTGACTGATTTAGTAAGACCTAAAGAGAGGTGCAAAAATAGAGAGAGATTAGGTAAGAGTAAAGAAATGATCTAAACTGATCGCTAAGATGTGCCTCCATACCAAATCTTCAGGATGTGGGTTGTCGTCACTGACAGCTGCCACTTTATCCAAGGGGAGATATGCAGGAATCAGAATAGCCGAGTAGCATCCAATGAGCAGCACCAGACTGAAGGCAAAGTTTTCTCTCCTATACAACGGAGAGATAAAAAAAAAAACAGCTGTATAGCATTAATTCACAGGTACACAGAATAAATACAGTGCCTGCAGAGATGTACCTGCCAAGGAAAGATTCCCTGGAGTCAGTCTTTGCAATCACTTGCTGCCAGTGAAAGAGAGGCGTTGGTGTTGCAGCCTCCGCAGCCTCAGGCAGGAGTGGAGAGCCGTCGTCCGGGGTCTCGACACTCAAGTGATTCAGCGTGACCATGGCACCTGTACTTTCACCTGAAGCACACACATCATTCAACTGGCAGTAGTGAGTATTACCTAAATCCTTTATAACAAAAATGCCATGCACAAATATTGCTTCTCTCTATAGTAAAGAAAAACGTTCTTAATAAAAACTTAAAGGTATTTGTAGATCTCAGAGAGTAACCATGTTACCTATTTCACTATCAAATGTAAACAAACACTATGTTTGAATTGTGTCTACACACTAAAACATCAAGAGGATCATCAATTGAGTAATGTGAACTGTATAACTCACAGCCAGCCTGGTAGAGATGTAAAGCGGATGGTTAACTGTCAGCTCCCCATTGCTCCATGCGTAAAGGGAAAGCAGTGTCCTGTGCAGCTAAAATGGCTGCTGCTGCTTCCTACTCTACTGAACTCTGCCTCCCTCAATAACACGTTAACCATTAACATGTCACTCTGTCACACTCTGGCACGAATGCCTGTAAATAAGCATGTGTGGGACCAATTCTCCCATCCAATAGAAATCTGCACGTAAATGTCAACAAGAAAAAGGGGGAGTGTCCGGAAAACCAATTCATTGCAAGGAAAAATGGATAAAGAAGCACTGGATGACACCTTCCAGGTTTGATGCTTTCTCTTTAGTGTGTGTGTGTTCAGTCTGATATACCTATTAAATGTTTGGAAAAAATACCAAAGTCGAGGTTGGCCAGTGATTGATTGTTGGTGTGCTTTCAAACTGATATTTACAAGGTATCACTTGGCAGTAATGAAACCTTTATAAATAAAATAATCCCCGAAAACGGTATGTTTATGAGGGTTGTACTCATGTGAAGAGAGGTACACACTGTTGCAACAACAGGAGTGAGTAAAACCAGGAGCTTGTGGAATGAATGTACCCTCAGCTCATGACTCGGGCATGACATGCCTGAAGGTTGGATGTACTTGTATGTGAGTGTGTGTGTGTGTGTGTGTGTGTGTGTGTGTGTGTGTGTGTGTATGTGTGTATGGGGGCATGACAGAGAGGAAAAGAGGGAGAGGGAAAGAGAGAGGGAGATTGTAATGCTGGCGCACAAACATACATTTGTACACACACCAAAGTGCACACACACCTGTTTGATGGGGTGACACAATGTCCCACCATGAACCCGGTATTCCAGCCAGGAAGCCGCTGGGCTTGCAGCGCTTCTGTATAAAGTGACATGCAGTCCGTCCGATTTTACTCCAGGTTACTTGTTAAAGTTCAAAAGCTTCAGCTATTCAAAATTACTTTATTGACTGTTTTATCTTTTTATGTATCAAACAGAGATAGAAGACGTTGTGATGGACCATAAAACAGGAATAGAGAAGAAAGCTCAGGTAAGTGAGAGAAATACGAACATTTCCAACGTAACATTTCTGATAATTTTTTATTGATATGTCAGTATGAATGATAATTATTATAAACTCACCAGGAGATTATTTTTCTTAAAAATAATTAATGTTACTCATGCCACAGTATCACAGTTTGAAAAGCTCTGATTTGTGAAAACATGTTAATGGTTATTTTATGTGAGGACATGTGAATTAATGAGCTGTTATATCCTAGAAAACATGTCGGCATCAAATTAAGCCCCGGACAAAATATCGGTCAGCCTACTTCAACATCCATTTGATATATGCTCCAACAGTTAACAGTGTGTATCAAGACATTTGGTTGAAAGTTGTTTTATTGTGACGCCAAATTGACTTTAGCATTTATTTCCGACACAGGACTACAGAACACGGTCTATCTTGCCACAGATTGAGAATAATTTGTATTCCTTTTATTTGAACCAAACAAAAAAATGAACTTCCAACAAAAGAGGTTATAATGGTCAATAGTGGTTGACCTAAACTTCATAAAAAAACATAAAGAATAGCACATAAGAGACAATTTTTGGGGAAGGTTACTTTTGTTTTTGCCATGTGTAGCTTGCACTACGATGTGAATTTACTTTGACATGAACGCTTCCATTCCCAGCTCTCAACACCCCTTAGCCTACTTGGCACATTTGCTTTACAAGCCAATAGTACCCCTCTCATCTGGGTTTTCCAACTGTGTTTTTGACATTATCGCTGTTTCTGTCACTTTCCAGGCAGAGGAGAGAGGGAGGAGTATCTCCCCAGACCTACACTGTGAGATTTTGGACTTGAGTGGAGGAGAGAATCTCACAGAGCTGTGCAAAAGGGAAAAAAAGATCAAGGAAACATACTCGCCCAGGGTGTCTGTGGAAAGCCCTGTGGTGAGCTACAATTTTCAGAAACCTTATGTTCATGTGCACATCAGAGATATAAAAATTGAATCACGCTCTCTCTTCTGTCCCTATGTTTCTCTCTGTGTGTGTGTGTGTGTGTGTGTGTTTCTGTGTGACAGATAGGGCCCACGGATACTGTAGATTTCATGAATGCAGCCAGTCAAGGCAAACTGAATGTAATAGACAAGTATCTGGCTGATGGTGGGAACCCTAATGTCCATGATGAGGTATGCTCTCCCTGTGTGGAAGTAGATTAGATACATTTACAACATACTACAAGTCATTTCTATTTATGATATGTTTAACTTTCCAGTTGAAGAGGACAGCACTACACCATGCCTCTCTGGAAGGACACACTGCAGTTATCCAAACGCTTTTAGAAAAAGGAGCCGATATCAACTTTAAAGATCAAGTAAGACGTGCGGGCACAGGCCTTGTTTGTAAAGATGATGATGAGATTGGTTGAGATTATCTTCACTCACTAAAGCTCCAGCCTCTAGTGGCCTGAAGTGAGCGCTATTAATAGAATGGGACCATCCTACTGTGTTTCAGCTGGGCTCCAGGGCCATACACTGGGCCTGCAGAGGGAGAAGCCCGGATGTTGTCAAAGCCCTGAAGAGCCTCGGGGCTGACCTGAATGCTAGAGATAAGGTGAATGAACATTTCAATTTGTGCCTCAGTTTGTACTCATATTTGTGTATCCGTGAGCAGACCGTAGGACTTATACTGACATACAGTAGGACTTATACTGACATACAGTTGGTCCAGTATGTGTTTGGCTGTGACTATGTGTCAATGTCCACACTGCAGTTGTACAGCACTCCTCTGCATGTGGCCACAAGAACAGGCCACACCGCCATTGTTGAGTACCTGCTGTCCTGTGGTGCCAAAATCAACTCCAAGGACAGGGTAGGCATCTGCTCAACAGAGTGTTTGGCTTCTGTGTTTCATCATCTCTATAATTCATTTCCTGCCATTAATATTTTTTTCTACTCTCAGGAGGGAGACACAGCTCTGCATGATGCTGTGCGACTCAACAGATACAAGATAGTGAAGCTGCTCATAGCTGCAGGGGCAGACACAAATGTAAAAAATCATGTGAGTTTTCCTTCCTGTTAATGTTGATGTCTGGTTTAGCTTAAAGATGATTTTAAAGGAACAGTTTTGTCATTTTCGTAAATTTACAAATTGCTTTCCCCCCGCTCAAATTTAGATTGACGATCAATACAAAGCACATATCTGTATGTTAAATATGATGCTACAGCCATTAGCCTGTTAGGTTAGCTTAGCTTAAAGACTGGAATCAGCTAAAGCTCAGCTCTTGTTTTTTAATCCAAAAATGTCAACTTGCTGTTTTTATGATGGGATGTGTGCGAGACTATTTCTTGTCCATTAACAGTTACTTCCTGGAGTTTCTGCTAGTTGGTGGCAACTTGTCCAAAATATTTCAGCACATAAGCCCGCGTAAAATGTGGAATTGGAGGTTTTATACTTGAGATTTTTGGATTAAATCAACAAGATATAACGTGTTAACTAAGGATCTTTTAAGCTGCTGGTAGGTGGGTTTTGTTACCTTTGGCTGGAGCCAGGCTAACTGTTTCCCCATGTTTCCAGTCGTATGCTAAGATAAATGAACCTAACCCAAGAAATGCTCATGATTTAAAAGAAAGAGATGAGCTGCTGTAGCCTCACATAGATATTTAACGTAGACAAAGACATTGTCATCCAACCCTTGACAAGGAAGCAGATAAACATTTCCAAAATGTCGAAGTATTCCTTTAAAGAACACTTATTAAATGCATATAAGAAGCTAAGATGCCGTGGGTCATATCTCAACACTGTACATACAATATGACCCCTCATTAACACACTGACAGTAACAACTGTGTTACAGGAAGGAGTGACCGCAGTGCAGCAGGTAAAACAATGGCAGTTTGACATCATGGAGACCCTGCAGAGACTGGAGAAGCTGAGGGAGGTGGGACCTGAAAACACCTACAGGGAGGAGTGAATAGTGCAAAAGATGTACATCTCCTCAAACAGTATATTCTTTATGACATAACTTTATACGACTATCTGTCTCAGGTTCAAAATACATTTTGTAATTCCACTGTCTGTGTACATCATATTTGAGTATATGCATTATATGTGCTCACCAACAAAATCCGCCTTTATAGGGCATGGGGGTTAAACCTCTGAGATTTGTTTGAGCTCTGACACTAAAAAAGGTCAGCTTGGATGTGAGAGATTCAGCTCTGCTTATCTTAAAAACAAAAAGGAAACAAGAACATATGAATGAGGAAACAAAGCTGAATTTCTCAAACGGTTTTGCCAAGCTTTAGCTTTTGATGTTCTCTTCTTAAGAGCTTTATGATCTGAGCAGTGCTCTCATGGAGAGTTCCTATCTGATTTGTGATGCCTTTGTAAGTTGAATAATAGCAATAGATACTGCTGTGCAGAAGCTGCATTTGAATATACATCAAGCGCTCGTTTTATTGAGGCGACAGATAAGGCCTGAGCACACAGTAGCGCTGTGTTTGGGACTTCAGCTGACGATAGCAGAGATGGCTGGTATGCACCCGCTTTAAGTCAGGGATTCAAGGGGAGCTCAGTGGACATATTTTCCTTCTATCATCAGTGGCACAAATGTTCCTGAGGGAGGTTGGTCATTCACACGGGGGGAACCAACAGCCTGCTCCAATGCTTGCAATGTAGTTGTTTATGCACAATTAGTCATTACACATACATTCATTTTGTGAGCACATTTTGTTCAACAGCTACTGCTGCATTTTTCACAGTGTGACTGTAAAATGCTGTTTTGAAAAGAGTGCAGTCTTCTGTTAAAACACAATGTGTTCATTGTAGACAACTCCTCAGATACATTATCGGCCACACACAGTATTTCCTGTTCCAAGCGAGGCTGTGCAACTGTCAGGGACATCAGTGGAGACACGTAACATGTGCAATACAAGGTTATGCACACTACGTGACAGCGTTGTCATTTATTTCGTCAACCTGACCCCTAACAGAGTTATCACAGTATATCGTCAATATAATAAAGTTCTTGGATCAGAAAGGTTAAACCGGTTGGACTCATATGTGTTTTACAGCTTTAGTTATGTTGTTTTCAGTTCTATGTGAGCTCAACACTGTATGCTTTTGTGCTGAACTGTTGCTGAGGGCTGCAGTGGTGTAGAATGAGAAGGGGGATGGGAAAACTGGAGGCTTCCGCTTTGTGCTATGTAGCAGCAGCCACAAACCAGACAAACCTGTTTATCCATGAAATGGTTAAACTTCTTCCCTATAGCCCACATCTCAGCCTTTATCTTCGAACATCAGAAATGGCTGCATAATCATCTAAAAATGTATTTCTTTTGTCACGTTTCTGTGTCCAAGCGCAATGACACACGTTTCTGTTCTCATCACAAGGCTTTATTTCACACATTACAGCCTCTTTTATATTGTACATACTCAGACCTATCCCGGGAGAGAACGAGGCGATACTGTGTCGTAGTTTTATCTAAGAGCACTCAAAGCAACATTATGTTGTTACTGAAAAAAAGGTAACCATGGCAATGGTATTTTCCAGGCAGGTGAAAGTTTGTACAGGCACGCTTTTAAAGCACCATTTGTTTCCAGTTGGAAATAGATGTGGAATTTCTGTGAATTAGATTCCACTCAGGCAGGCGTGTGTGTAGGCAAACAAGGCTTGAGCAGGTGCCGTCTCCTAAATAGTTGAAAGGAAAAATCCTATCACATGATCTGAAAAGTAGGATATTACACACTTTGCACATACAGCAAACATTAAAGTATAATTTGTGCTTGTTAGATAGTGGTACTAATGCATGCACTGGTCTGCTCTTCTGTGTCATGGAATGGTAACCTTCAACCTTTCTGATTGTACTTTGCAGCACACTGCGGTACCAGAGATGGTATTCAAAGCAAGCAGCAGTATGGGTTCATGATATTGAGTATTGATTTTTTTTTTTTTTCCCCTCATAGAAAATAACAATGAAAACCAGCAACTGCAACAATCCGGGCTTGAGATTTAAGGAATATTTACAACAGAATATCATATAAATTCCCTGTTTAATCTTCGGTCCTTTTGTTTTTCTTGCGCAGTAGAGCCTCGGGTGGATTTGTCCTCATTGATTTTTCTTCATTGTTCAGCTATAAGAAATTACACATGTAATTCCTGTTGACTCTTCCAGGCTTCCTTAACTGCAATACCATTTGATTGTCTTTGGTTGAATTTCTATGTAGGCAACCCTAGACAAACCACGTCTACAACTGCTTTGTAAGGCCTATACACTGTTCAAGTACACCAAATTCATCTGTCATCACAGAATAGCTGCGATCGGCTATAATGCTCAATACATTTCTTAAAATACTCAACCACACTGTCTTAAATAACTCAGTAACAACAAGTTCTACCTGACCAATCAAACAAGTATATCTTAATCCATTTGAAAGGTCAGAACAAACACAATCAATGACAATGAATATGTGTACATCTCACAGAAAAACACATAATTACATAATCCTTAAATATACATCTGGTTTATAAATTATGTCATTCAGCTGCCTCAATTAAGCTATATGTCGCTAATTTAATGCATTTAATTTTGATGTTTTTAACAACTTTGAGAAAGTCCAGTCATCCGAGTCCTTCAGGTTACACGGCGGGGGTTAGAGGGGGGGGGGGGGATGAGAGAATTATCCAGCAGAGTTAAATCTCCCCTCCCATGATTTCCACTGGGAGAGGGAGGTATATTGGAGAGTGGAGAGTTACTGGACTTATGAGTGATGGGAGCTGAGACTCAGCACCAGCTTAGCAACGTATCCCTCAGACTGAAGGTAATCTTCAAACAGTCCTCAAATTCATTAGGTCGATAGACACCTTAGGGCAAATGATGTAGAGGACAAGGGAAGGAGAGGGAACTGCACATCATCTCATTTTCAGATGGACACCCTGGAACTACACTCTTGTACCAAAATGTCTTTAAGGCAAACGTGAATACTGATCTTCTCAAAGGAGAAACACCAGTGACATAATGCACGCAGAGATAAAGTTTGCAGCAGCACTGTTAATTGAGATGAGATTTTAAAGGTGCCCCGTGGAGTTTTTGTGAACAAACAAGTTATGTTTACATTCACATCTGTATGGCCTGACAAACACGTTGAATGCATCTCCTTACTCATAAAACATTTGTAAAGCTCATTTGTTTTGAATAGGTTTAAATTGTACATTGTTTAGGTCCTTAGCTAGCTTGCAGTACCAGAAGTCAAAACCTCACAGGGGACCTTTAAGTACCACTCTGTTGTAATAGATTGCAGCATTTCTTATGATAAATTGATCGATGTTGTGGCTCAAGTCTTCAACATACAGACTTACTTTACTCCTCCTGATGAAGCAGAAAGAAAACAAAAGCTGAGAGGTCTCCCATATTCCGTATGAAAGCTAACTATTCTTGAGAAAAATACTAAGACACTATTTATGTGTACAATAATTTGAACAAGGGAACCCAGCACCATTTGGTGTTTACAGGACTTGTGAAGTTAAAAGTGTGCTTCATGGTGTTGTGCATTTCAAGTCAGTCATACAGAAAGCCATTGTTTGGTCAAACTGCATGTGCATTCCAAGCCACTGGCTAAGCAGGGAAGATGCAGACAAATAAAAAGAAAGATATGGTGAAAAAGAGAGAAAGACAGAGAGAGAAGACCTGGAGGGAAGTATACGAGTACACATCCTTGAGGCCCTCCTGGAAAGTGCTTGAACGCTGACTGTGTCTCTTCCGGGGTCCATGACAGTCAAAGTGCCAGACTGCGAGCGTTGGATGCTGAAGCCTGCGCATGCTGCACCACTCCTGGACACTTCTCTCTCTTTTGCAGCTTGTGGTTTTGAAACAAGCCTTCGTTTCGCGGGACACCGTGGGCTCCATCTGGGAAAGTCAATAGCCCTGAAGGCACAGACACAGGGCACTATGACCAACCACAGAGATACTACAGACATCCTGATGTACCAGTGGTGTAACAGACTTACCATATCCCTCAACACGTCCATCTTTAAATTCTCCTTCAAACTTCATGCCATCGTATCGACTGAAGACTCCTGCGCCTTGAAACTTTCCGTGTGCAAATTCTCCTTCGTACCTGATACGGTGGAAAAAGGGCATGGTGTCATTTGTACCTTTTGATTGAGGACTGAAAACTTGCTTTCTTTTTGGCTCACTCACCTGGATCCATCTGTGAAGAGCAGTACACCAGAGCCATGGAAGAGTCCATTCTCAAACTGGCCAGAGTAGCAGGTTCCATCCTGAAACTTGAGCTGGCCAACACCATGCCTCCGACCTGGAAAGTCGCACATCAGAGTGAGTAATGGCTCAAACTTCCAACACAAGAAATCCTGTGAAGGCAAACAACCTTGTCGATTCACATTTGATCCACATTGGTGTCATCACGCCTCATCTAACCACTTAGCCTCTTTTGAATTAATCTTTCATAATAGCGCGTGTACTATACTGTAAGAGATGACCAACTGAGCTTGACATTTGAACTTGCAATGCGGCTCAGGGTTTTATATTCACTTGGTATTGGAGAGCCACTACATACAGTTGTGTGAAAAAGTGTTTGCCCCCTTCCTGATTTCTTATTTTTTTGCATGTTAGTCACACTTAAATGTTTCAGATCATCAAACAAATTTAAATAGTAGACAAAGATAACACAAGTAAACACAAAATGCAGTTTTTAAATGAAGGTTTTTATTATTAAGGGGGAAAAAAAATCCAAACCTACATGGCCCTGTGTGAAAAAGTGATTGCCCCCCC